TGTTTACTTTGATTACCCACATAATGTAGCGACATGGTGTAATAACCGATATAGATAGTATGCGCAATAGGAAATGGCTGTCTCTCTCCGTTCCTCAGCAATCTGTCTACCAGTTTAAAATAAGACAAGTAAGTGATGCTATAATGTGTAGACCTTACAGTGTGCTAGATTTCACAAGTACTGTGCCAGATTACTATAATTGCTCTATCTTGGAGTATTGTTGCTCTATCTTGGAGTATTGTTGCTCTATCTTGGAGTATTGTTGCTCTATCTTGTATATCTCTTTATGTCATTGACTTATGTCATTTTTTGGCATCTTGTATGTGATGATGATGTATGTGATGGTTAAAAAAATATGTAAATGATGATGCAATACTAGTACTCTTAGCTTATGGTAGCAGAACACAGTTTTTCGCCTATGGGGATTTCTAAAGTTAAGGACCCGGAAGTGACTGACATCGACGTGGATAAAAATACAGTACGGTACCATAGAAAAGCACGAGAAACGAATATGTTCAAATATAGGGTACGATGTACAAAATAACAAAAAAGTACAAAAAGTTATCGTTTTTTTGACATCATGCCGCCCTCTTTTAAATGGCCTCCTGCGGAGCGCACCGGAACTGCAGCCGACTCACCATGGCAGGCAGCGAAAAGGTCACGCGCATTTATACGCCGACCGAGCAGCCTTCCTAATCTCAATTATGCGATATCAAAGCCGACATATTATGGTACCATACGGTAACTTGTATGTCCCGGTGTCATCCACGTTAGGCTGTGTACAAGCGGTGCAAGCTGTTTGTCGCACTCATTTCTTATCCCTAAGTCATCGCTCCGGGGGTCGCGGAGGAATACTGTGTTCTGCTACCTTAATTATTGTACACACAAATACATTTTCACATGTTCTGGTTTGAAGAGTTCTAGGGTCTTTACTGCAAACATAAAACCACAGTGAATATTTCACAATGTTCAGTATTCAATAACAAAATTGTTCAGGATAATTTGCATGACATCTGTGACAATACAAGTGAAGAAAAAAAATTCCTGACTACAAAAATGACGGGGGCGCCACAGACTTTCTGCAATCTATGATCAACTGCTCACTGAGTAATGTGTGTTATCTGCGTGCGTCACGGAAGTGGTGGATTGCTCATTCCTTGACAAAGAGTTTTACAGTTTAAAATTTGGGTGAGTCCAATTTGTTGTGTTGGAAATTGCAGATTAAACTTGCTTCATAATGATTTCTAACAACACAGATGAACTTGCAAGATAAAAAAATGTACATTCAGTTGGTTGAATCAGTTCAGTCCTCATCTACATGGAATTGCATCTCCCTTTTCTTTCTCAAGGCTTGTCTTTTTTTAGCATACAATATGTGCAGCAAAGAATATGTGCAATATTTTAGCATACAATATGTACAATATGTACAATATGTTCAAGGCAGTTTATGATGTAATTTATTAACTAAAACTACTATGTCATTGAAGGTTAGACATCCAGGTAATAAGATATGCCAAAAGTCAGTTAACTCAAGCAACTGGATATGATTGTGGAAATGGTCAGACGTTTCAGGTAGCATCCACTGTAACCTTTTCGTCAGTGACACTAAGAGACCGCAGTAGAAAATAAATTCCTGAGTACAAAATGTACAATCAGTTCAGTCTTCATCTACACAAAACTCCATCTCATCCTTTTTCATTCCTCTCGGCTTGTCTTTTCCTCATTCTCTCCGCAAATTCTTCCACCTCCCTTCGGTACTCTGGGTTGGAGTACAGTTTTAGACGCTCTTCTCTGCGCTTCTTGACGTGTTCCTCAAAGTAGTCAGGCTGGTTAAAGTACCAGAAGATGCCCACAGGGAAAAAAACATCATGCACGGACAACCTGGGATGGTACAGAAACAAGACATCAGAGATTTCAAACTTCTGCGAAAATACATATTAGTCAAGCAAGCACATGAACGTTCCTTGTTTGAGTTTAATGAATTACATCATTCTTTCTTATACAACTGTAAGAGGACACTTCAGTATGACTATGAGTATCACACAATGGTTTAAGTTTCATACATAATTGTCCATTCTAGTCTTGCTTGTAATCAGCATCAGTATTTCTGACATAGCCTGGATGCCAGACCTAGCTATAGGCCCAAGTTATCCAGTGCAAAACCTGATAACTGGCTTTGAGCCTAGTGTGCCCTATGTCTGGTACCCAGGCTACTAGTATTCTGGCATGGATCTATAAATTATAAAGCTAGGCATAATATAGAATCATGGAAACTTTTACTTGATTGGGCTAATCAAAGAGATTTAAAATAATTTCAAACCTCCTTGGGCAGGTGGGCTAATACCCCAATATAAGATACATATGCATATAATATACATATGCATATGAACTGTTTTAAACCGAGGCTGGACTTGTACTGGGAGAAGAAATCGGCAAAGACAGATAGAGTGAGGGGACTTACGGATTTCACAGTATACTATGTACTCAAGGTATGTGTACAGAACACACGCGCTCATTACTTTTCTTCTAGTTGTAACTAACAACTTGTAAACGTACCTGAACACCTCTAACCTCCAGTCTCCCATGCTTGGTTGGTAGTAATGTCAGTCCTTCATCTGGACAATGTTACTCCATAGTTCCGCTTCAGTTTCTCAAACAGGGTATAGAATTTTCTTCTTACACAACCAGTAAGGTTCTCACCTGCTTACGTTTCGATGTCTATCAGACACCTTCCTCAGAGCTTCTGACTGGAGTTCTGCAACTCGCCGATATCGTTAAGTTTCTCAAACAGGTCGTCAATCTTCTGGACCTAAACGTGATAGAAGAAAGAGCGAAAAGTTGAAGTGAAGCTCCCATACTAAACTACAGGCGACATTCACATACATATAATGGTGACAGGAGTCCTAATGCCTACTACGAAATTGCAACATTATGTAACCCAACACCAGTTACTATGGTGACATACGTCAACAAAAGAGGCCATTGGCCAGGTCAGAGGTTAGTGTTTGGAACAGAAGAAGGACGAAATGGAGCAAAAACAATATGTTTTCCTTCGGTAAACATAAATATTGCGTTTCCTGAACATGCTAGTCTTAGACCAATGATATCCTTGAACTGATAGACAAAGCTGGTTTGTTTGTTGATATCATTACCTGAATAGACAAAGTTTATTTGCTTGTTTGTTTGTTTGTGTTTTTGTTGGCATAATTACCTCCAGCTCGACAACCTCCCAATACCCATCAAGGTCGTTCAGGTCGGGTTTGTATGGGTTGTCGCCCCCTAGCGTCTGTCGGAGGAAAAACAGCGTAATTGATTTGATTTGATTTGATTTATTGGAATTTTGGGCCCAGGTAGCTGTTGCTGGTGTTGTGTCTCACACAAAGAATGTTACAAACACGTACAAATATCATCATAATCAGAGAGCATTTCTTGGCAAACAACTTGACTTTTGGAAACATAATCGAAACATAACATGGGATGGCTGCAAACATACACAAATGATTTGCATTGAGTAGAGTATCAACGTATCATGGGAAAATCATATGTTCAACATAAAACAAACAAAGCCCTCTAAATACCCACCATGGCTTCGTGGCACAACTCTTCAAACCTGGCCAGCGGGGATGTCGAGTTACTTGTGATCAGCCTACATCTGCCAACCGCCATGCGGACTTGTTCAAGAGCTGAAACAACATAATGTAGTGAAGACTTCATCAGAATGCCACACAAGAGCTTCAAAATGAGATTCAATTCAAAGTGAATTTCTTAAGTGAATACTTTTCGGTATGTACTTGTCGTCCACTAATATGTTTGGGCACTGAAAGTCAACAAATTACGTCTATGTCCAAGGTTGCACTTGAACAAGAGCAACACATGGCAGATTTAGTGAGAAGTACAGGCTAGGTGGCAAGGTGGTTTGGGTTGTTGACTCAGAATCCGAAGAAGACAGATGCTATGTACAGTATTTACAGGTTCACTGTACCGGGGAAATTCCCCTTTTTTTCACCAACACAAATCAATGAACAATGGACCACAGCCTAACGTCCCGTCCTGCGACCCTTTCCAGTAGTAGCGCGCATGTCCGGTACCGGGGAGCGACAACAGCCGGGATTCGAGATCCCAACCTCTTGGTCCAGAGGCAGGGTTGCCAACCGATAGACTCTGCGTCGCTATACGTGAAACAGACTACATTGTAAAGAGACTCTTTTTACACTACCAAGTCCTTTATTCAGCCGACATTTCGGTGACTGTCTGTCACCTTCCTCAGCGCAATTCTGACTGGTTCTTGCATTGCAGCACAGGTGTCGCTGCTACAGATGTTGCATTCCCAAATGTACAATATTTCCATATCTACACATATGCGTGATTGGATTACAGGGAAATGTATCTACAATGCGTTCCCAAACGTGCATCTGTAGCAGCGACGCCTGCGCTGCCGTGCAATGTGAACCAGTCAGAATTACCCTGAGAAAGGTGACAGACGATCACTGAAACGTCGGCTGAATATAAAAGACTTGGTTGTGTAAAAAGAGTCTCTTTACTCAGTGTCTTTCCAACCTGACAAAACTATTCACGGATGGGGGACTATACACTTCACATACCATGTGCAGGGAGGTTCCGGTAGTTCAGGTATTTCTCTGCCTCCTGACACTGTGAAACAAGCCTGTCCCTCTTTTCCTGCACCCGCTGTATATAGGCGGCTGGGGTGCAAGGCTCTTCTAGGTCAAACGTCAGATTTCCCGCCGCCACTGGTGGGTCCTCCTCCTCTTCCTCCTCCTAATATAAGTACACATATCATCGATGACATGAAAGTTCATCTGTGTTGATATATTTCATTATGACGAGTGGATATTTAAACTTTATCTTCCAACACATAATAAAATTGTGTTTTAGTTATTCTGATCTGCACCACAATTTGATTTATTACCTTCGCCAAGAAGATTATGTTTTCGTTGGCGTTCGTGTGTCTGTGTGTGTGTGTGTGTGTGAGCACGATAACTCAAGAAGGCTAAGATGGATTGTCTTGATACTTGGTAGGTGGGTAGGTCTTCATGAGACGTGGAACTGATTAGATTTTGGGCCCCCTAACGGCTTGTTATGGTACCGCAGCTGAACTTCCGTGATATCTCGTGATCTAGACATACTAGGGTGACGAAATTTGGATGGTAGGTAGCTCTTGTGCTGGGGAACAAGTGACGTGAGTTTGGATCCCCTAGCGGCTTGCTCTGGAATTGCAGGGGCATTAGTTGAAAAATGTTTAAAGGCGGATAACTCAAGAACCGATTGATGGATCGTCGTGATTTTTGGCATGTAGGTAGCTGAAGTGATGCTTGACATAATGTTATTACAATTATGCAAATATTAATGTAATTTGCATAATTAATGAGGAAATTCTATATATCAGCTGCATTCCATGATAGGACTATTCAAGCTTGTGATATATGTAATGCAGAACGGCAGAAATACAGGCAGATATCGATTATGCAAATGAAGACTTAATTTGCATAATTAACGAGAAAATGTTATAATTACATAGTGGTAATGTCTGGAATTTCATACTTGGGATATTTGAAAGTTATGTGAAGGTGAACATTATTAAACATAATTTATTCAAATAAGGACCTCATTTGCATAATTTATGAGGACATGCTATAATGGCATGCATTGATAAGATAAGACTGTCTTCTGGTGTAGAATATGATCAACAGATATAATTGATGCAATATAGGATCCTATTCGCACAATCAGGGGGATTTATCTATAATGTCTTAGGCCATGTTGATTTGATTATATGGATGACATCCGCGCGCGCATGAATTTTCGGCCGTTTCCAAAAAAAAAAAGTTTTACAACCATACTGTAAATCGTACAAAACCGTTGCAAAATGAGCAAATATATACCGTAAGTTGCAAAATAAATATTGGAAAAAACGATACCAATGTCGCAGAATGCCAAAATCAAACGAAAAAGACAAAATTGTAAAGAAATGAATTTGAGGAGTAGATTATTCGCCATACCATACTATGTGTCATTTGTTTGACCTTCATGACCACGTAGATTTCATCATGAAAGCTAACTTTTTTTTTTTGCTAAACTTTTTTTTATTCGCACGCTCGCATCAGTTTTGGGGTTCCCAGAGGATGTCATCCATATAATCAAATCAACATGGCCTTAGTCATAAAGGCTAACATCATTTGGCGAAGGTATGAGATCGTGGAACTCTAGTTGTTAATGTAAGTGCTATTATAGCCTAGTATAGTACCCTTGTATGTTCCTTATGTATGTATGTCAAAGTAGTGCATCTGTTGTCTCCAATTTGCTATATACGTTTGTTACGTGTCTGTTATATCTTGTCCTGTACCTAGCCCGTCGTGGCATGAATGTACAATAAAGGTATTTCATTATTTACTTTTTCGTTTGGGACAGGCCCACGCGCATATTTGTCAATTTTTTTTATTACTTTATTGTGTATTTCGTTGTATATGAGCAAATAAGCAAATCACAGTCACAGAGTCACTTGCGGCTGTGTTGTGTTCACCTCTATCTCCGGTATAGTGGGCAACCTTTCCGCAGACGTTCCGAGCAGAAATCGTCCGACCAGGCCGCGGCCGACTTTCGAGCCATGCGGTCGGCGAAGCCGTCCAGTGTCTAGCCCTTCAAGTAACACGGCCCGCAGTAGCTCCTTGCGCTGCTCTGCCTTCATGTCTGGGTGTTCAGACTGGATCCTTCTCTGTATAGCGATGGCGGATGCTCCTTTTTGGTCATTGAGACTTGCGATAACATCCTCAACCCTTTTCAGTGTTATCCTGTTCAGGGTGGACATCTTCCACGCTCGATGTGTCCTATTCGCAGCGCTACACCTGGCCCGCGCGTCTCAGACAGGTGATGGATGTAATCAGATTTAGGATCAGACGAATCAGGAGACTTATGTAAATGGTGTGTATGCTAATAAAGGATCTACAGACATGCATTGTGGGAATATGGCCAGCTCATTAATTACAAGCACTGTAATGTTAATTAGCTAATCGAGGGGACGCGTTACGTCATAGTGTTCGACGGAACCAAGAGGTCCTGGGTTCGAACCCTGCCATGTCACCAACCTTGTGCTCTTGGGAAACGCACTTAACCCGACTTTTCTCACTTCGCAGAGTTGAAAATGAGTCCTGTATTGTCCCGTGAAAATGAAAGTCCTATCCTTTCACAAGGATGGCCCAAATTTGACCTTGACCTTTGTCTTTCTAAGACCATATTTCATCACAATCCATAGACGTCTTTTTAAGTTATGCTGGGTCTATGGGAGACTGATAACAGTGACAGTTGTTTAAAGGCATCCAGTGCAGTTGTTAGGGCTTGGAAACCTGATTTTTCAGACAATATTTTAGTCACCTGCCATGCCACCGATCTTGTGCCCTTGGGAAAGGCACCTTACATGTCTGACTTTCCTCACATCGCTCAAGTGAAAACGACTACTTTATTGTCCTCTGTGTTGATGGCAGCATGAAAATAATGTTGTGCTTACGTACTGGAATGAAAAATTACCTACAAGATGGTTTGTTATAAAGGAAAATTACAATGAAAAGTTACCTTATGTATGAATCTTTTCTTTTATGTCTTCTTCTAAGCATAGGTGTTATTAAAGGAAGCTTGACTTGGTGCCTTAAATAAACAGTAGCAATGCCTTCATATCATAGGTATGGCCCTCTCCTTGGTGCTGAACGCACTATCAGTTCCATGTTATGCATTACTGTCTATTAACAGGCTCTCATGAACAGTGCACACAAGTCATTTTTTCATAATTCTTTTGTGGAATTTTTGTTTCTTTATGTAATAGGTGGTGGTAAAGAGATCAAAACACCACTAGAAAATATGTACAAAATACCAGAAATTAATTAGTACTTTGGGCCACACCAATTTTATTCCTTGGTTAACGGATTCGCCCGCTTCATTTTTTTCTGATTTGCAACAAAAAACATATTCATATTTTGCCCTCAACAGTTGAAAACAGTCCTTTTCTTCCTAGTTCTTACAGTTATTCCATCTTTCAATGCAGTGGTGTCATTAAAAGTTCAAAAATCATTGCTTAAATTTTGAACCAGCCTGGTGTGTTGACTTCATGGCTCCTATCGTACCATTTTGGGCCATAATAGGATGCCTAGGCCTGTTTTTACTTTCATTTTTTTCGCCCGCCCGTTAAAGAACCCATGTTAAAGAACCCACCGCACTTATCGAAAATAGTTATTGAAATATAAAACAGGAACTCATTTCACTAAATTCAATTGATTTTCCACATTTTATTAGTCTGAAGAACAGACAAGATCTGAATAGAGTCGCCAGTCACCTAATTCCCAACAAATACAAGCAAAAGAAACACAAAATACACAAAAGAAACACAACTTTTCATAAATTACAACGTTTTGTATTGAGAAACTTCAAAGCGTACATAAACAGTGTGCAAGCTTTTATGAATTCAGTAAAGAGAAATTGAGGTTTTGTCTTAAATTCTCATCTGAAAATGATAGTAATGATAAAAATATTGTCGTACAAATTGCAAACGTTCAACAAATTTGTGGGAAAGGTGAAAAAGGACACATCACATACATGGTCCTGGATAGTTATGAACTACAAAATACATAATCATGAACTGGAAATGTCAACATAATATATGATAACCATTTTCATGCCAACTTGAACCAAACAACAATATAGGAAATAACTTTAAATGCCTGATGTGCTTGTTACAAACTCCGGTGGGAGACCATCTGCTTCACAGCTCTGATTGGCTGGCCAGGTATGGGTCTCATCCTGTAGTTTACTGCCACTATTGAAGCAAGCATTTAGGCCACACCAATTTCATTTGTTGGTTTTCGGATTCGCCTCTTCATTTTTTTTTCATTTGACAAAAAAAAAAAAAAATTCTGTTTCTGAATCAACTCAAATATGCTCATATTTTACCCCCAACAGTTGAGGAACGTCCTTTTGTTCCTATAGTTGTTACAGTTTTTCCATGTATCAATGCAGTGGTTTGCGTAAACGTTTTCTGAAAAAATCCGAGAACCAACAAATTAAATTGGTGTGGCCTTACTAGTAACTTTTTTGATACAGTATGAAAATTACAACATTATTTCATGATTCTAAAAAACACATTAACATGTATGCATATCTTTCATTAAAAGAGGTAAAAAAATTGAGTCCACAATGTACAAAGAGATATAAAAACTGATTTCTCTAATAAATTGACATTTAAAACCACAAATAATATCAACAGCCATAATGATTGCATTTCCCGGGAACTAACACCAAAGATCTTGTTTAAAATTATGTACGAATAGAGTACAGAATGGAACGTTCCGCCACCCCTACACTTAGAGTAGAATGGCCAAGAACGAAGAAATACAATGTCTTGAATGTCTTCTTATAGTCTCTCTGAGGCCCAAGCAAAATTTTACAATAATTTCCTTACCCGACACCAACATTTCAAGCTCCCGGCTAGATATATTAAACTTTTTTCCTGACACAGAATGCACCTACCAACTTTTTACCTATTATACTATAATTGCAGTTGTACCCGTTTAGCATGTAAATATGCACATGTACAAGTTTCTGAGTGTCTATCTGTACATCCCTACATTACATATTCACTACAGTGGATATATATACAGGTTAGCCTGGGCTCTTGTGTTACACGAGACCTTCTAACACAAAATTGAACAAACATGTAGTACCTGTCCTTGGTGCTGAAATCCTTGGTTACAACTTACCACAATATTACAATGTCCAGTACTCTGTGAATATTCTGAGTCCTCCTAATTTGCTACATTTTTCTTCATTAAGTTTGCCCCACACACATCATTGCTACACTTCATGTGGCCAACATTTGATTTTTGTTCCTTTTTGTAACGTGGTATGATAATACTGCATTCTTGTACAACATTGTCAGCAAAGTTAGTCAGCACTGCAGAAATACAGCTAGCTCTACTATTTCCAGTCATTGCAACATTGCACCATTTTCTGCTTAGGCCACAGCAATTAACTTTTATGGATGACATCCTCCGCAGACTCCAAATCTAATGCGAGCGGGCGAAAAAAAAAACAAGGTGGGCCGAAAAAACAAAGTTCCTACATTTTACAATTTGGACTCAATCATTGTACAAATGGTTTTGATTCAGTGAGAACATCACATATACACACCCAGCATCACATATCACTGCATCAAAGTAAGAAACAAAACATTAAATCAGAGCCTTTTCTTGTCTCCTCTCTTTATAGTTATCTGCCATCCACCTTCTGGCATGGCAACAGATAGCTTTGCCCATTTTTGGCATGGTGACCACTGTCAGAAGACAACAAAATTTCTTGTTTTTTTTTTCAAAATCAGACGAAAATTAATGCGTGCGCTGATGTCATCCATACAAATTACTTGCTGTGGCCTTATAAATATGAATCTATAATTCTATTGGCCCTCTATAACAGTCTATTGGTGACTTCCAGTTTGATGGTTGTGATTGGGAGGTCAGGGTTCAACATGTTTCAGAGGTCAAAGGCCAAGGCTACTGGAGGTCAAAGGTCTAATACTGCTTGACACAAAGCGTCATACAACTTTCATATGGTGACAATTATATATTATTATTAAAGTCCATACAATCTAGTTTTTAAGTACAAGTCCTTATGCTAGTGGCCACTTGGATATGCTTTTCACAATAAGTCTTAATATGTTTAAACTTTCTGTACAGACTAGCATAAAAGTTCATCTGAGTTGGTAAAATACATGAAGAAAATTGAACTTCCAGTGAAATTTGACCCAGTGCTGACGTCACACGTGGCTAAAAGTCACGTGTCCACAGCACTTGGGTCATAAAGCTGATGAAGACTGAGCGATTCAGTCAAAAATTTCTGGTGATTTAATTTTGTTTTTGTAGTTGGAGAACAGTTTAATTTTCTTCTGTATAGTCTCTTCTTCTTGTATTTTGGAAGCGAGTTCCTGAATGTTCTTGTTCCCAGAGTTACAGACTGGTGACCATGCCTCTCCTTCCCAGGACCCTCCTGCTGTAGTAAACAGGGCGGTTCTCACTAGCAGTCGGACCTGTAAAAAAGGGGCAAGATGAAAATAAGACATTTTCTTAGATTGAAAGTTCATCTGTGTTGGTAGAAATCATCATGAAGAAAGTTTAAGCTGTGATTTCCAAGACAACAAAATGGACTCATCCAAATTTTCGACTGTACAACTCCAGTCTTTGTCAAGGAATGAGCAATCCACCGCTTCTGTGACGTCACGCAGATAACACACGTGACTCCGTGAGCAGTGGATCATAGGTGGATTGCTCATTCCTTGACAAAGACTGGAGTTGTACAGTCGAAAATTTGGGTGAGTCCATTTTTGTTGCGTTGGAAATTACAGTTTAAACTTGCTTCATAGGACATTTTCTTTTTCTATTTTGCAAATAAGCAGCCAACCAACCAAACAAACAGCAACATATTAATAATAATCAAAACTTTCAATTTTTGCTCAGTCTTTAGTTCACAAAATCAGCCAAGTAACCACTCGTACAATCACTCACCAGCCAACCAGTTAACCAGCTAAACAAACAACAAATTGTTAACCAATTGACCAATTAATCAACCCAGTAACCAGTCACCTGTTAGTAGTACCACAACCAAACAGTCACCTGCGGAAAGAAAGGCATATTCAATAGCCAGGTTAAAAGTCCCCTCTGAACAAAACTGTTAGGAGACATAAAGTAATGTGAAAGCATGACTGTTTGTATTACGTTATTCCCCAATCACCAATGAAAATTTGAACCTTCACCTTCCTTCTAGCCAATCAGAAGCCTTCTCCTGTAACCTGATAATCCTCACCAATTTTATAGCCAATCAGAAACCTTCTCTTGTAACCCGATAGCCATCACCCACCAAGCAGCCAACCACAAGCCTCCCCATGTAACCTGATCACCGTCACCCATTTTGAATTTTCTCTCGACCAACCAGGTCTGTTCCCAGGTGAGGTGGAACTTTCTCTGGACCAATCACGTTGACTCCCTGGGGAGGTGGGATTTCCTCTGGACCAATCAAATCTATGCCCAGGTGTGGAGGGACTTTCTCTTGACCAATCACGTGTACGCCCAGGTGATACTGAACTTTCTCTTGACCAACCAGGAGAAGTGGGGCTAGTAAGGCGAGTCGGGCTCCACTCTTGGCGTTTTCTCTCTCTTTCGACTTCCCACTGGCTCAAAACTCGCATCGAGTCACTGTGACACAAGTGGTTCATGTTGGATAGCATGTTGAACATAGTGATAGTCTTACAGCTATTCGAACAAAACAAATTTATGCTTTGTTCACCCTTATAGTGTCGTGGTACTATGGTCAAGCTGAAGTAATTTTGTGTACAATAGTAAAAAGACTTTGGAATTCAAGTTTTTATGTGATCATACACTATATTGCTTACATATTGTCCTTTATAAAGTAAGAAAATTTTCACCATATTATCCCTGTTATTGTTTTAGTTTTTTGTTGTGATCCTGAAAATAAATACTCTTAACTGAAAAAATAGCATGAAAACAAACAAACAAACAAACAAAGTCATGTTCAATTTTTCTTTGCTGCTCTCTGATTTTACGATATCTACTTGCTTTATTTTCACCATGAAACGTCCGAGAACCAAGGAAATAATTTGGTGTGGCCTTCCACGTTGAATAAGAAGACTCACATTAGGCCACACCAATTTAATTTCTTGGTTAACGGATTCGCCGCTTCATTTTTTTCTGATTTGCAAATAAAAATAAAAATTCAGAATCAACTGCAAAATGCTCATATTTTGCCCTGAACAGTTGAAAACAGTCCTTTTCTTACTACTTGTTACAGTCATTCCATCTTTCAATGTAGTAGTATCATTAAAAGTTCAAAATTCATTGTTTAAATTTTGAACCAGCCTGGTATGTTGACTTCATGGCTCCTATCGTACCATTTTGGGCCATAATAGGATGCCTAGGCCAGTTTTTATTTTTATTTTTTTTCGCCCTGTCGCTTCATATTTTTTCTGAAAAAATCCGAGAACCAACAAATTAAATTGGTGTGGCCTTACATTTGAAAATTTTGACTCAATCATTGTACAAATGGTTTCAATTCGGTGGGGGCATCACATGCAGTGTTCTACACAGCCAGCATCACATATCACTGCATCAAATTAAGGAACAAAACTTTAAATCAGAGGCTTTTCTTGTCTCCTCTTTTCATAATTATCTGCCATCCACCTTCCGGCATGGCAACAGACATCTTAATTTGCCCATTTTTGGCATGTCGACCACTGTCAGAGGGTAACAAAATTTTTTTTTTTCAAAATCAGGCGAAACTTTATGTGCGCACTGATGTCATCCATAAAAATTACTTGCTGTGACCTTACATTGAATACAGACATTGTTGCCCCCCTTCTGTCCCACATTAGTGTGTTAGTGCAGAGTTACACACTTTTTCAACCTCTGTTTGTCCGACTCCTGTCTCCAGTGCTGGTCCCACACCGCGGCCCGCTCTCGTACCGAAGGGCTCGTCAGGCCATCAGACTTCAACCTGCTCAACGGCTCCGAGGAATCCTGGAAGGGTGTGAAAGGGAAGGTTAAGATCATGAAAGTGAAAGTTTGAGATCATGAATTTCAAAGTGAAAGTTTAAGACCACAAAAGTGGAAGTTGAAATGCATCAATGGGGCTTGAAAGTTTAAATGTGTTTGCTGGAGTTGTACAGTCAAAAATTTGGGAAGTACGAGTTTTTGTGATCTGTGAATTACAGATTTGAGTTGGAAAGTTTGAATGATCTAAGCTCAGCATATAACAAATACATGTACATGATTGTACAATCTTCTGTTGCACACTCATGCTCTAAGGCTAACTGCAAGGTAACACTGTTTGTTTGTTTGCGCCTTTATTTATTGATGAAAATACACAATTCGGCCAACAGGCCGCTTTTCATTGTGGTCATCATGCAGGGGAGAGGTTCAAGGGTCAACAAATTCCTACAAAACACATAATGTATACATCAGACTTGGATACATGATTCAGAGTCTTAATAAATCTAAACAAATATTCATCATAACATGGTACAACTTATATACATGTATGGGAAGAGGTAAAAGTGCCTAGTCTATAGATCTACCTGCTGTTTCTACATACACTACCAATAAAGGGTTTGATTTCATTTTATAGGCAGTGGCTCATATATTATGCATCATCATTCTGAGAATCTTTTCATGGACAATTTTGAGAAAGAAAAGTTTTTAGGATGATATGAGGGTTACAAGCAAGTGTAGACTGAAGCAGAGTACACATAGCAGGGCTTGAAATACTGGGTGCATGTGCACCTTGGTGCACCCAAATTAGGAGCTGTACACCCAACTTTTTTCTGTGGGTGCACCCAAATATTTTGGTAGGTTTACATAATATGTAAAGATGTTAAATGTACATAAACAGGATATTCTAAGTGTAATCACACTTGTGTAAGATTTTGAAGTTAGCTCCCATTTCAGATTCAAGCTTAGAAGAGGAGCAGTAAGACCTGTAATTAGGTTTTGTTTTATATGGTGCACCCAAAAATGTTTAATATGTACACCCAATTTTTTAGGTTGGGTGCACCAGTGCACCTGTTCCCAAGGATGAATTTCAAGCCCTAGCAGAGCACACATGACAAAGGGGTTGTGTTATATTTACATTGCCATTGTCTGATTCATCCTCCACCATTTCACCTTCATCAGGGTACTGGAGTCAAAAACACATCACAGGAAAATCACCAGGGTTAGGATCATGGTTAAACAGTGCTCATGCAGATTGAAAAACATGCAGTTGTATTGTATCGTGCCAGTGTTCTAGCCAGCCTGATTAAATTGCTTTTGCCGGCCGCCCAACATCCAGCCGGCCCCCTTGGGTGGCGGACTATGTAGGGAGCCCCCGGAGCTTGGGTTACATAGGCTATGTTCTAGCCAGCCTGATTTTTTCTTCTGTCATCTCAATCACGTTGATTGCCACAGGTATGAGAATGTTAGGGGGGTTAAGGGCATCCACCCAAATAAAATTTTGAAGCTTCGATTCCCTTGAAACAGTATTTCCTGCATTTTGAGGGGCAAATTTTGCTGGTAGACTAAGCCTAGTTTAATGACATATCTTTTCATGCCAATTTTTGTCTGTCAAAGATGACAGAAAGATAGATGTTGGCTAGAACACTGGTTAGGATCATGGTTAAAAATTGTCATCATGCCATGAAAACATGCAATTGTGATGATCATGCGACTCAAATAAATGGAATTAAATCACCGATCATGGTCAAACTGTAGCCTCCGTAGCAGGCTTATAGAACTGGGGGTTTGGTGGTCTTCGGCTGTTTTCTGATTAGCCTCCGTAGCAGGCTTATAGAACTGGGGGTTTGGTGGTCTTCGGCTGTTTTCTGATTAGCCCAGTTCTAAAAACGGGGGTAATTCAACCAGGCCGGTAATATGTTGTCTATATGCAATCAGAAAATAGCACATAAAAGCTCCCAAAGACCCTGAAGACCCCCAAACCCCCAGTTTTTGGCATGCTATGGAGGCTAGTCAAACTAGGATCATGCAATGGAACATGCTATCAGTGCAGTCACACAGTTCATCTCTTGAATTCTTGGGGTAAGAAGTTATATGATTGTGGTATCATTGACATGCATATTGGTCAGTGATGAGGGAAAGAGGTACTGGGTTAGGATTAGAGAATCTGATGTGTGTATATCTGGGCTAGACTGGGTTAAATCATGATGTTATGATCTAACACCCCCTCTCCACTGTGTTGAAACCTTTGAGTGGCCAAAATTAAATTTTGTACATGACCAATAATTAAATGAGTTAAATATAATACATAATATAAATGTTTGACTTGAAATAAGCACAAAAATCTTAAAAACGAAATTCCTTTGAACTGCTAATTATCCCATGAGAGTTTTGGTCACTCAACAATAACTTTCTTAGTGGAAAGAGGGTACATGCAGATGATTGTATAAATTATTAATTAATGAATATGATAGGTGGTGTGAATCAAGGACTGTGCTGAAATTAAGGAAGGTTGATTAATTGCTGCTTTTCATGATAGGAAAAAGTCATGAAACTACTGTAGAATGACTGGGGGTTCTACAATGGATAATCATATTCTATTATATTATGCAAGAATAACACAATTTAATTTGTTGGTTCTCGGATTCGCCTCTTCGTTTTTTTCTGATTTGCAAAAAAAAAAAAATATGATTCTGGTTCTGAATCAACTGAAAAATGCTCATGTTTTGTCCCCCAACCAGTTGAGGAAGTCCTTTCTTCCTAGTTGTTACAGTTTTCCCATCTATCATTGCAGTGGTTTGATTAAAAGTTCAAAATTCAATGTTTAGATTTTAACCCAGCCTTTTGTGTTGACTTCATGGCTCATTTCGTAGCATTTAAGCCTATAATAGGATGCCTAGACCTGTTTTTATTTCTATTTTTTTTCGCCCTGTCGCTTCATATTTTTTCTGAAAAAATCCGAGAACCAACAAATTAAATTGGTGTGGCCTAAATCAAGATAATGCCACATCACTGAAATCTGCAAAACTAGGTGAAATCAGACTCTATGATGTTCATGATTGTAGAATATTGAATAAAAGATGTTGAATGAAAAAAAATGAAGGGGATGAAGGTTGTTGATCATGCTCTACACCTGGTAAGGGTTGACGAGTATAATTCTTTGGACAATCTTTGGATCATGCACTGGAGTTTTAAGAAGAAAGCTTTGTAGACACCCCAATAGGAGGAGTAGGAAACAGTTTCTACACATTCATGCTGAGAATAAGTAACACTGGTTACGTTAAATTTGGAGAGGCACAGTCAGACGATAAGATGTTGTGTTTTCAGCATTGCTTTCTTAACCCTTGTCCTGCTGGACTTTTTTACACAATATTTTCCAATAATTTGAAGTCTTAATCAGGTCACAGACCCTTTACTTCTTTTGCCCCGCAGAGGCATACATGTAGTTACTTGAGCATTCGTTGTGTTTCACTGCGGTGTGATGCGTTGCATGAGAAACACCCCCAAATCGTACATAAACAGGGCACTATATAGATGGGTCCCGCAGGACAAGGGTTTTAAGATGGCTGTTCAAATTCCAAGTACCCAGTGTCTACCCTAATGTCAATGACATTGTGATCATGCAAGGAAGGAGAGAATCTTGAAGACATCCTATGAGAAGGGGAAGGAGAATATTTACATCCAGGTTCCCGTTATCGAACCCTTCGTCACCCTCCTCCACCTTACGCCTGTTCACCGGCGACTGCAACAGCAATAACCCAACCTGGTTAGTCAGTAACCAACACAAGTTAATATTAACTAACCACAAGTTAATATTAACTAACCACAAGTTAATCTCAACATGTCAAAACTATGTACAATCGTACCTGATTGGTCATCATTAACCATCACAAGTTAATATCAACTAGCCATTGTTACAAGTCAAAACTACATACTATCCCACCTGGTTAATCATCATTAACCATCAATTAGGTTAATATCAACTAACCATTGTCAAAACTACATTTGTACATACAACCCAATCTGGTTAATGATCATTAAATAACATAAGTTTTCTACATACAAGCTGTAATAATACATACCATGAAAAACAGACCAGAAAGTACAACTTTATAATTTTTTTTTATTGTATACTTTGCACTACTTTGGTACAGGAAAATTCCCTGATTTGAGTCAAAATCAATGAACGTACACTGTACTTAAAACTGTTTGAATGTCTCAAAAGCTGTCTGCTGCCTGCTATCAAAATGTAACATCTTTCAAATAGATTTCCTTCTGAAAGAAGGAAAATTAGATGTAGTAACTTGTAAACTGTATTTGTCTTACATGTACTTGCCTTGTGCTCTCCTATTATAAAGGGCTGACTAAGGCTTTACCCAAATCTTTCGTCTTGTATATTCATTGCAATAAAGCAGATTTTAAACTCCTCATATTCAACATTTCTTCCTCACCGTGTCTGCTCGCTGGTTCTTGGCCCTCCACCTCCTGACGTCTGCCAGCCTCTTGGGTCTGTCTGTCTCTTCTGGTTCTTTCTCTGCTTCCTGGGCAAGCTCCCATTTCAGTCCTGACTCCCCGCCGCGCTTCGTGATCGAGCTTCTGTATGCCAGGTTTCTGCAATCAATCAATCAATTAGTCAATCAATCAATCAATCAGTTAAACAATCAATCAATTAGTCAATCAGTTAATTAGTCAATCAATCAATCAATCAGTCTCTGTCTCCGGTTCCTTCTCTGCTTCCTGGGCTGGTTCCTACTTAAGCCCAGACTCACCGCCACGCTTTGTGATCGAACTTCTGTATGCCAGGTTTCTACAGGATTTGGGGATCCATTTTAGCAATCATTCAGCCAGCCAGCCGTCAAACTATATTGCACTTTAAGTATATTCGTTTAAGAACTATCTAAAAGTCATGTACAGAATCTTCACTTGACTTGACTTGATTAAAATCTACTGAAAAACAAGTCTAAAACCGATGTTACTCTACTAAGAAAAATAGTTGGGTCTTATGGTAGCAGACGGGGGTCTAACTTCAAGGTCTGCATCTGAGTAATTATAAGCAGTTTATCTATTTATTTATTGCTCTTAAAAACAGTTGGGTGGTACCTTCAGTCTCTGAAAGACTGATTTCCAAGGTAGCCCAACAGAACATACACATTGGACAACATGGAATACAATGAAATTAAACAAAATGAAACAGATTAATCAAATGATCAATCGTAGCAAAGGACAATAAATAATATAATAACAAAGGGTACAAATAATCAATCATACAAACACAACGGAACAACCAAAACAAATAGTCAAAATCGTTAGGCATATTCATATTGTCAAATAATGACAGTCGGTTGTTCGTGAGGTCAGGGTCAGAGGTCGTATGTTCTTAGTGCTACTTTAAAAGCATTTATTGTTGATGCCTGTTTAGTTACCGTGTTAAGCGAGTTATAGGCTGAAGCTGCTCTGTACTTAAATGTTCTCTGTCCAGTTCTGTTTGTGTAATGAAATAGCAGTAATGAAATACAATGTACATTGTGGTTTGAAAGCTCATCTGTAAATGTGGTTGGCAACAATATTTTGAAGTTTGAATATGACTGATTGAAAGAATAAATATGAGTCTATCAGTATCATGACAAACTTTTGATTCAACACAAGAATGCTCTCACAGTGACAATGTTATAAATAGATGAAACAGCATTTTGTGATGATTGAAACCCATAACTACTGTACCTGTCAAACCCCTCCTCCTCTCTCTCGGGAGACGCGGCCAGGTTGGTTCTGGAGTTGGTTCTGGACTGACGACGGCTGTTCCCTGGACTTTTCCTTCTGTTGTGCTCCTCTGCTACCTGCAATGGATGAAGTGTCTGTCAGGATTTGTCTTGAGAACAAAACTGCACACAGACAGCCCTGTATCATCCCTGGAGGGTGCCATAATAAAGAAGAAGCATCCAAATCATGGATTGCATCTGATTCAGGTAATGTTAGGACACCAAGTGTCTGGCTGGTGAAGTTGCTGAGACTCTAACCCACAGGGGTATTGACATTTGCTGTGCCCAAGAACCACAGGACAGAGGCAAAATGGCAAGCTACCATCAGGCCCCAGAGAGAGAGAGAGAGAGAGAAAGAGAGAGAGAGAGAAATGTTGAGCATCAAAATTACAGGACTGGTTTACAATTATTGTACACATTAATCCTAACCAAAGTCTGACTGTCCTCTCTACACTCTTCCTGGGTGCACGGACAGGTCAGGTTGGGATTTATTGATTATTAAAAGATCGATTATTAAAAGATTGATTGATTGGACCCACCTTCTGCTGCAGACTTTTCCTGGGTGCAGGAACAGGCCGGGCTGGGGCAGTGATTTATTGATTATTTATCATTGATGAATTGGTTATTGACAGGTTTATTGATTACTGATTGATTGATTGACAGATTGATTGATTGGACCCACCTTCTGCTGCAGACTTTTCCTGGGTGCAGGAACAGGCCGGGCCGGGGAGGTCGTGTTGGTGGGAGAACTGCCCAGGTTCACGTTCCTCATCCTGTCCTCTATTATCTTCACCTGGAGAAATATATTACAGGTGAACAATTCCATTCAATCTTAATTTACTAAAACAACTGAGTCTCTTACTCATGTGTCTGAATTGTGTTGTTCTTAACAACAGTAGGCACTTCATCTATTCTTACTAATAACATTGACTATTATAATCTAAAATATAACATTATGTTAACAAAGCAAAATTAATACACATTCATTGACAATCATGCAACATTAGAGCTGTGTACCTAAACAAATTTTAGGTACAGGTACAGGTACAGGTACACAGGTTTAGGTACAGGTCCGGACCTGTACCTGTACCTGAACAATTCGACCAATTTATATGCTCTTCTGAACTCCTTCAATAACAAAAAAACATAAATAAACTTGATAGTTAAGGTTTATTCTTTGTTTATGGCGAATGCTCAGATAAAATATAGGCAAAACTAAGATGTTTTTGTTTTCATGAACACACTGTCCTTACACAGGCACCCATTGTTAACCAGCTATTTAAACATTTGAGGTCACAAATAGGCATAAAATTGGTGTGAAATTGTTTAGGTACAGTACCGGTACTGAGGGATTAGGTATTTTGGACCTGTACCTAATCAATTTTTCCGGTACAGTATCGGTACTGCGTACCGGTACACAGCTCTATGCAACATCATAACATAAGAGTTGGCAGCTGTACTGTTGGGTCAAAAATGAACATTCAGTAACAAACAGAGAAACACTGGAATAGGTCACCTTTAAGATCTATAGCTAAGCTGGCAAGATGTTGCTTAACAGTCACAGATAAACTCACTGAAAGAAAAAACAAAATCTTACCGGCCCAACACCAATTTGTTCCAGCCTCTCCTGACTCTTGCGTACCTGCAATGAAGAGGAAATAAAGTTGTCAGAAAACCAACAACACTCTACAGTTGTACACTTATTCTTTAGCAGGTAAGAAAAAAATAAGTTGTGATTCACTGGTCAGAAAGTCATGTGTTCTATCTGCATAACGTGACGTCACAGAAGCCGTAGATTGCTCATTCCTTGACTGGGGATGAAAAGTCGAATTCAATCATGTTCAACCAGTTTGTTCAAACCTCACTCACACTCACTGCTCGGCTTAGCGTCCGTTGTTCCCCGTCATACAAGGGTTGGACGTCGTGGGGTGTCGTTTGGGTCTAATAGCTGCTCTCCAGCTGCTTCTGTCTAGCGGGTTGGCCTTCTGCAGTTTCAAGTTTTTGACATCTTCCCTAATACTGTCTATCCATCTCTTTTTTGGACGACCCCGCGGGTTTCGTCCCTCTACGGGCATTGTCATGACCTTCCTTGGCCAGTTCTGCGGGTCCATCCTTTGCACGTGCCCATACCAGCGAAGTCTGTTGTAGCGCAAGATCTCACGTACATGTAGGCTGCTTACACCTACATGTAACCTACACCTAAGCTGATCACTTGACACCCTATCAGCCAGTCTACTGGAACATATCCATCTAATCATGGCGTTGTCACATCTGTCTAGCCTTCTAAGGTCTTCTGTGGACACCGTCCAGGTCTCAGACCCATAAAGCATTACGCTTCTGACACAGGAGTTAAAAACATGACCGCGATTTATGAAAGGGATGCTTCGGTCTGCAAGTATGGGAAGGAGCTCGTGGAAGGATATCTTTTACCAACACAGGGAGCTTAGCTCTTAATCTAAAATAAGTTCTTCTTTATACTAAGTAACTATTCTTTTATACCAGTATGAATTGGTGATCTTAAAAGTCACTACAAGACCCATTTGTAAAAACGTAAATTTTGACTCACGTGTTCAGCGCTCTGTTGCACCTGTGCGATGGTGCGCGTGACTCGCTCCTCCAAGGCGCGCACCTGCGTCTCAGGTGTGTCCTCCTGGATGTTCTCCACCTGGTTCTGCAGGTGCCGCAGGTCCTCCTGGAGGGCAAACACCTTCCCGGCGTTCAGGTACACCTGTACAGGTGAGATTACAGGTGTTATAGTACTGTATGTATAAGGTGTGTAGTTTTCATGGAGCCCAAATACCTTCCCCACGTTCAGGTATACCTATACAGGTGAGAATAAACAGTCAGGTGTTACAAAAAAAAAAACATGTATACATGTAGCACTGTACAGTGCGGGTTGTTGAGGATTTCCTGGAGATACCCCACCTTCCCAGCGTTCAGGTACACCTGGGCAGGTGAGAATACAGGTGTTATTGTACAATATAGTACACAGGGCTCAAATTACTGGGTGCCTGTGCACCTTAGTGCACCCAAAATTGGAGCTGTGCACCCAATTTTTTTTCTGTGGGTGCACCAGTGCAGCCAGATATTTTTGTACATATCAAAATGTATAATACATGTAGTATACAGGATATTCTTGCCAACTAAGTGTCAGGAAAAGAATGAGATTTTTGTTGTAGTACTAGTAATTGCTTAAGATTTTGCAGTTAGGTCTATATAAAGGGGTTTTGTCACCTCTTCCTCTAGTCTCTCTGCCTCATCCATGCTGCCCTGTTTCCGCTTCACGCTGATGGTCTTGGGTTCGTCCGGCTGACCTTGGCTCACCTGTTCCGCAGACTTCAAGGTCGTGAGGACCGTGCTGGTCACCTGACGCGCGGCTCGGGCCGCGGTTTGCTGGGAGGAAGAACGTCATCGAAAATAAGATCTTGAAGAATGACAAAGAAGGCAGCCAATAGAAGTTACATAGTACTGCTTGTCATCGAAAATAAGATTTGTACATAAAGTAGCCATCCTAGGTACCATCCTGGTTAGTTTACATTTGCTCCCACAGTTGCACTGTATGGTTGGTTGGTAGCAACTGTGGGAGCGGACATAAACTAACCAGGATGGTACCCAGGCTAGATATATAGAAGCATGGACTATATAATATATGAGATGACAAGTTACAGCAAAAAACTGGTCAAAAACAGTCCAGTAACAGTAAAAATAATTTAGTAAAAAGTTATAATTGTACAAGGAGCCAGCAAATCTTATGCTGCAAGTAGAGGCAGGGAATATTACATAGAAAGTTACAGCAAAAATCAGGTCCAAAAACAGTACAGGAACTATAACAAGAATTTGCTAAAATTTTACAGAAACCAGCAAGTATTATGCTGCATGCAAGTTGAATTTGAAAATTCAAAGAGCAAAGCGTTAACATGAATATATTGTAGATTGATCAGCTAAATAGTAAGCTCTTTTAACAGTCAGAAGTTTCAGATAGTATCTGTGCTGGCCTTAAAACATTGTTAAGACAGAAGACATAAAAATTTGCTGATGAAAAATTGATTTGATTCTGAATGAGGACACAGGAACCTGAAGACCTTTCCTTTGACAAAATCACTATTTACCACACACACACAGTGTCAACTCTTTACAAAGCCTCGGCTATACTTAGTAACAATATTCCAAACTGTGTTGTCTTCTTGTTTCATGCCCCATTTTCTGACCATAACACTATTGAATCCTGTTATAGGCTGGTGGACAATTGTGCCTAGCTCCCACTTTTAACCCTAAGCTTATAAGTCCTGCACTGCCCAACAAACGTTGTTCTGCACATACAGTACCATCTATATAGAACTCTGTATACTATATTAGGTACAATTTGGGGGTATTTCTTGTGCAACACATCACACTGCAGTGAAATGCAACAAACGCAGAAGTAACTATGCCACTGCTGGGCTAGTTACTTCATAAGATTAAGACATAAGATTATTGAAAAATATTGTGTAAAAACGCCATCCTGAGGACAATTGAATGGTGGGAGCACTGTGCTGCATTTGCAAGATGAACTTAGTAGCAACAGAACTGTTAACAGAAATTCTCAAACAAAACTTTACAGTAAGTAAAGGAATGTTGAATCCAAAATAGTTACTGTAACAGCATTATGTACTGAAGTTCCTGTTTTGAAAAACAAATGTTCAACTTACAGGAGGCAATTTCAAGGCTTACATGTAGACATAGACGGACATAAATTATTATATATTAAGTAAGACAATACTGCCAATTATTCCTAATAACACTTTCATAAAAAATCCACGATGAAACTAGACAATCCACCAGAGTCACATGCATGGTGTTACAAAGTTAAACACTGTCCAAGAAACTAAGGCAAGCACAGCTTCCAAGACATACAATTCAACAAAAATTATGCTACTCACCAGCAAAATCAGAAAAGCAACAATCCAAAAACTGCTATTATATAGATGTCCAACCTACAGCTTTTAGAAAAGCTCAGAAAAGCAGGACTGCCAGTAAAATATGGCAAGGCCAACGACTAAACAGAAGGAGTCATAACTCGTGTGTGGTCCCTTCAACTTCCAGGTTCATACTTAAGTCTAGACCAGGGGAAGCAAAATAATGTGAGTGTTGTCGGAGCTTGAATAGGGGTTTCAAGAACTCATTTAGCCCATCTCAGTGCCTGTATCCACATCCTCTAAAGACCCTGAGGAAACCCTCCATTATAAACCAGGTCATTTGATTGACAATGTAAGAAAAGGCAGATACTTTAAAAGGTCATATCAGGCTCCAAGAACTGGGGCTGAGGATTAGGCAAATATCAGCCCATTCTGCTTGTGTTTAACTTTGTCCCAAATTCATGCATCAAATCTGCATTGGTTACAGGAATTTAAAGCCAGTTGGGAGAAGGATTGCAAAAGAGTAAAAAAAGTCAAATGCTCTTGCTGTAGCTTTCTTGTGAAAGCCATGTTCAAATTTTGTGTTGTAGTTTTCTACAAGGATTGACTCACTTGATTGAATTGTCTTTATTTTGAAATTCATGCTGACTGTTGCTATGGAGGGGTTGGTTTTTATGCATGCTGTTGTAGTGTCGCTATGGGAATATAGTATCTGCTCAACAAAAGGCTTATAATGCTACTGTTACAATTACAAGCTGTCTCAAAGCTAATTGAATCATTATTAGGCCACACCAATTCATTTTGTTGGTTCTCAGACATTTTAGTTCAAAAGATAGCAAGCAGACATCATAAAATGAGAGGGCTAGGAAGAAAACTTGAATATGACTGTATTTACTGCATAACACTGAGTCCACCGAGGCATCAACCAGGTCCTCAGACTTTGTTTTCATTAGGTTTTTCCAGTTAACCATATTTTCAAAAAATCCGAGAACCAACAAATCAAATTGGTGTGGCCTTAGGTTCAGAGGTATGTCTTTACATGGAAATTATAACTAGTACATGTATTATGAAGTGTTACTGACAATGCAGCTGTAAGAAACCAGGAAGAGACAGTAGAAACAGATAAAAACCCCACTGGTCCCGGGCCGGATTCGAACATATGGTCTAGTGGTTAGGATTTGGTGCTCTCACCGCCAAGGCCCGGGTTCGATTCCCGGTGTGGGAACCAGTGTAAGAAACCAGGAGGAGACAGTAGAAACAGATAAAAACCCCACTGGTCGCGGGCCGGATTCGAACTCTCGGCTCCCGGGCCACAGTGAGACGCTCTAACTGAGTGAGCTAAAAGGTCTAGACCCATTTGCCGGATCTGTTGGTAGCGCCTATAAACCCCCCACTGTTACACAGCAACATCAGTTTGAGTTAGTTACCTCTGTTTGCAAGCCCAGGTCATTCCTGGTAGTTTCCAGTAGTGTCTGCATGTGTGAAGAGGCAGAGGTCCTTTGTTAGTATTGTTCAAGTATATTGTACAAGGAAAAATTATAATTCTGCAAAAATGTATTATGTAACTTATACTTTTTCATACCTCTTAGATATACTAGTGACTGGCAAAGCTACCAGTCTTGGCAATTAAATTCATTCTTTGATCAAAATATTTTTCAAAATGACTACTGAACTTCTTCTTCTTCTTCTTATCCGAGTTTTACGTCTATTGATTCCCCGAATCGGGGGTATAGACGTGCTTGCACAGGTGCATGTTTGGGCTTGTCATTTTGCCCCTCAGCATGCTGAGGTGCACAACAGCAAGCCTGTGCAAGTCTTTTCTTGAAGCAAGGTTTTTACTGACTGGATGCTCTTCCTAACGTCAAACTCTAAACTTTTTGACAGCTTTCAGAGACTGGCTGTATGAGGAAATGTGTGTTAAGTGCCTTTCCCAAGGGCACAACATCGGGGTATGTAGTAGGTGGATTTGAACCCAGGGCCCCTGGGTCCCGGGCCGAAAGCCCTACCACTATACCACACGACGCCACACTATACCACACGACGCCACACAAAATATATATGAACGCATATAAAAGCTAACTGCTATAAAACTATGTACTGTTACACAGTATAAAATGTGTAGTACCTACTTCACAAATCACACATAGAGCAGAGAGTCAGGCACTTTCTTAACAATCTACATTGGATAGGCTACATACAATCTTAGTCTTCGATTAAGATCTTTGAAAATTCCAAGATGTTTACTGAACCTATGAGCTAACTGCATGAATTAGGCCACACCAATTTAATTTCTTGGTTAACGGATTCGCCGCTTCATTTTTTTCTGATTTGCAAATAAAAATAAAAATTCAGAATCAACTGCAAAATGCTCATATTTTGCCCTGAACAGTTGAAAACAGTCCTTTACATCCTAGTTCTTAAAGTTATTCCATCTTTCAATGCAGTGGTATCATTAAAAGTTCAAAATTCATTGCTTATATTTTGAACCAGCCTGGTATGTTGACTTCGTGGCTCCTAACGTACCATTTTGGGCCATAATAGGATGCCTAGGTCTGTTTTTATTTTTATTATTTTTTCGCCCGCCCGCTCCATTATTTTTCTTGAAAAATCCGTTAACCAAGAAATTAAATTGGTGTGGCCTTATGGACTGTATAAAATGTGTTAAGTACTTCACAAATCACAAAACACAGAGAGCCAGTAACTTTGTCCACAATCTACCTTCTCTTTGAGTAACTTGAGGTACTCGGTGAGGCTGGACAACTGTTCTGTGTTAAAGAAAACCTCCTGGGCCAGCAAAGGGACACAATGTTGACAAATCATTATAATAGGAAAGGGCTTTAAAATACAAAGCCACACATATACAAGTCATGTATACCCATTCTATGAAGCATGCTGATTTTAGAAAGCAAGCATTGAAAAATTATTATGTCAAAAAGCTAAATTTCCCAGGCATAGACTTGGAAATAAGACAGTCACTGCTACTCAATAAGCCATGTCATACTATTACTGAACAATTCAAGCAATCTTCAAGACTCACAGTTCCATTATCCATGCAAACAGATTACAGCTATAGCAGTCAGTGCACAAAAGTATACAAATGCACAATGACAGCTTTACACAATGACATGCAAAAGCTAAGTCCTAAAACTACAGCAGCTGCTGCTACATTCTTGACAAAAAATGTAATTTAAAATCAAAGTGACACACTAACTTTGTAACAACAACATCCTTCCCAGCAATGCTTCAATGCTAGCAAAACCCATGCACAATGCACTATTGACAAAAGAAGGCAGAACTACAAGACCACACTGACAAATACCTAAAGAACAAAATGCGTAGAAAAACACAGTGACATGCCACAAACACGTGCACGGAAAACATTAACCTGCCAAAACACGTGTACAAATCCACAGTGACAAGCCAAAACACGTGCACAAATCCACAGTGACATGCCAAAACACGGGCACGAAAAACGCTGACATGCCAAAACACGTGCACGAGAAATGCTGACAGAGCACCTGGTCTGTATAGAACTCTTCCCCCTCGGAAGAGAATCCTGACCCTGACCCTGACCCCGAGCCTGACCCCTCGGAGTCGGAGACGGCTATTCTCTCTATCCTCCGCAGCGACTTTTCCAAGGAACACACCTGGTGTCTCAAGTTGTGCAGCTTCAAGGGCAAGAACATAGCAGGGTCAAGGGCAAGAAATGCAGTTGTTGATATGAGGGAAAACGAAAGGGCTAAAAATATTGCAATGCTCTATAAAAGACAACAGTAAATGTAACAGTTGTATTTTATGATGCTTAAAGTTGGCTTAAAGCTTTACAAAGGATTGGTAGAGACTTTTAAATATGTCATATCTAGTTGGTTGGAAGTTTGTAACATCTAAAGTTACCGTGATTGACTGAAAGTTCAATATTGTTGGCTGAAAGTATTTTTGGACTCATCTGCTGGCGGCAAGAACTGAGGACCGATTTCAAACAATCATATGATGGGCCAAAAGTTTTCATGGCCTTTCCTGATTTGCCAAAAGTATTAAAGATCTCCCCTGATTGACTGTAAGTTTATACTGGCTCACCTGATTTGCTGAAAGTTTTGAAACTCTCACCTTATTTGCTGAAAGTTTTGAAGCTATCACCTGATTGGTTGAAAGTTTTTAAACTCTCACCTGATTGGCTGAAAGTTTTGAAACACTCACCTGATTGGCCGAAAGGTTTGAAACACTCACCTGATTGGCTGAAAGTTTGGAAAGTCTTACCTGATTGGCTGAGTGCAGGATGTCCTGAGCTGACTCCAGCACCTCCTCCTGTTTGGCGGAGACTTTCTCGGACAGGTTACTGATCTCAATCTCCTCTTTCCTCTTCACCGAGTAGCTCCCACCTGAAGAGATTGCCAAGACTTATATCATGTATTGATCTGTATTGATTGATTGATTCATTACAAAATACTGATGCCAATCACATCCCTTCTCTGAACAGAGTAACTACCAAAAGTGAGATGGTTTAAGGGGCTAGGGGGTCTTGAGTTACAATGGAAGACAATGGCAAAGTCAGACAAAACTACCTGTTACTCGTGGTCAAAAGAGCTATGGGGCCTTGAGTTACAAAGGATTACAATGACACAATCTGACAATATTTTCTATGTTTTACCAGGGCTGCTTGGTCCTGAGTCAGTGAAGATGGGGGTACTACTGTCCATGCCTGATGATATTTATTGATACATACCAAAAGAGCTATGGGGCCTTAAGTTACAAAGGATTACAATGACCCAATCAGACAGACAACATCATTAGATAATCATGTAAAATTTACCAGGGCTGGAGGGTCCTGAGTCAGTGAAGATGGGAGTACTACTGTCAATGTCAGGAGAAACTGAAGACAGAGAGCTTGCCGTAGATGACAGGGGAATCTGGGAAACTCGCTTTGAGTAGGTGTCAAACGCTGACTTCGACAGGTTGTCTGCAAGAAAAAGAGACAGAATAAAGTCATTAATTTAACTTCAAGCCACATTAGGTTAATTTCTTGATTTTCAGGGAAAAAAAAGGCTAGAACTTTATTACCATAACCTGTACTTTGCTTGTAAGAGCATAAATATGATATAATTTAATATAAAAGTCTTTCATTTGATCATTCCTTCGTAAGATAAAAAGTGAACTGAAAAGGTAACATTTGCAAAGCAAATGCATAATGTTAACCTTCACATGGTCTATAGACTAACTAGTGCTCTATTCAAGTTTTTGAAGGGTAAGAGTACTAACCTCCGTGAACAAGATGGACTGACAGTCATTGAAAATTTGGAAGTTAGTACACTTACATTTAAAAAACTTGTCACTGCTGAAATAACTCTCTAGTAACTGTAAACCAGATCATAAATAATAGGTGTATAAAATAAAAAGCAAGCTGCAACGTTTCGGTACCTGTAAATTCTTCCGTAACCTCAGATCTAGGCGAGGAAATCGACTCTCCTTTTGCAGAATAATATCCTTCTTCCGACGACTTTCTTTCCTTTGGACTCTTTTTCGTTTTCCCTGTTCTTGCAGAGTTTGTGGAAACTCCTTTAAGTTGCGTGTCGAGACTGTCCAACTGTCCGTGTATGTGCACCAACTTGTTTAGGTTAAATCATCCGCTGGCTCTTCATTGTTCACATTCTGTTGTTTGGATGTCGCTTGCACTTTTTTCTGCAGGGAAGTTTTATCGTGATCGCACGAATCGTTGTGTGAAGACTTTGTTTCTAGTTCCCTCTTCTTCCTTAGTTTTTGTTCTTTTGCCACTCTTTTTTCGTATTTCTGTACCTGATCTGGTTCAAAGTCTGATTTACGAATCTCGCCGGGTGAAAGTGAACCGTTTGTCGGTGTCCTCGACTCTTTTTCTAACACGATCGTATCGTCGTCGGAGCCTTCTTTCTCTTCAGGTTCGCTGACGACAGAATCGTGGTCGTCGTACGGAGTTTTGTCCAGAGGCGTTTCCGAGTTTAGTGCCTCAATGCTTCCGCTGATTTTTCGTGAGAGAAGTCGCTTTGGCCGGGGCTCCGGGATCATCCAGTTCTGGTCTTCGTCTAGAAGATCGTCTCTGTCGATGGACCCTGGAGTAAAAAAATGTGTCACTCATATTTTTTGACTGGATTTAACATTCATGACACTATGTCGGATTTTTTTACTTTCTTCCATAGTCCAAGATACAGCATTGACATCCTTTAAGCTAGGAAAGCAAATAAAAGCTTAAAGACCAAAAAAGCATGTCCAATCTGTAAACTAGTAGTTAAAGGAAAAAGAAAAAGAAACAAAGTACACATATGTAGGAACAACAAAGAAATTATAATTAGCTCTGTAAACATAGTCAAGATCAAGTCACAATTCAGTAGTCAAATTTGTAATTAAATTGTGAAATTAAATTGGCTACAAGGAAATTGTATCCTAGAGTTATCATGTAAATTTTTTCTTTTACATCCATTAAAGCAGGCTATAGGTTGACTTGAATCCAACGGTCTTTAAAATCAGCTTTTGTTCCTTTTTCCCCTATTTCATGAATATTTATTATAGACCCGTGGGCGATTCCTTCCCACTGACAGCTGAATCATTGGTCTTGTACACAGCAGTTTTGATCTTAAGCTATTGAAATATGAAGAACTAAAAGGGAGTAGCTTTCAAACAAGTGGGTAGACGAAAAATAAAAAAAAGTCTTAGTGATTTCAGCTTACATAGTAAAGAAATGAAAGATATGATGATAAGTAAAGAAATGATTTTAAGAAGCTCTAACATTATCTGCAAATGTACATGAAGTCTTTTTCACTAAGTCCAAATGGTAAAAGTACAATGAATACCTGGAAATAATACTCCTACAAATGTAGTGGTACAATTCTCTACATTGTACCAGTTACATTTGTTTAATGTTGATTTTGATTTGATATGATGTTGTTCTTTTTGCCGGGGCAATTTGGATACCTGAGGCTTTAAAGACATATGGATTTTGCATCCAAGGGGCTTTAAAACCAACTTTTGTTGCTTTTTCCTTATAAGTTTATTTTTCAAAACTCAGTAAAGACCTGCTGGTGATTCCTTCCCACTGACAGCTGACTCATTGGTCTTGTACACGGCTGTGAACTTCATCTCCGTCTTATATCATTATCATTATTATCATTATCATTATTATACATAATTATTATAATATCATTTTTATTTGTAAGTTATTATAGACCTGTGGGTGATTCCTTCCCACTGACAGCTGAATCGTTGGTCTTGTACACGGCTGTGAACTTCATTTCCGTC